CCCGCGCCTTTGGGAGGCTGAGGTGAGCGGATTACTGAGCCCGCGGGTTCGCGACCCGCCTGGGCAACATGGCGAGACCTCATCTCTACAATAAATAAAAAAATCAGCCGGATGTGGTAGTGCATGCCTGTAATTCTGGCTACTTGGAAGGCTGAGGTGGAAGGATCGCCGGAGCCCAGCAGGTCAAGGCTGCGGTGACCTGGAGTGGCCACTGCACTCCAGTCTGGGCGACAGAGTGAGACTGCAACTCAAAAAAAAACACAAAAAACAAAAACAAAGTAAAGGGCTGAATATAAAGGATTCTCAAATTATCAGCTGCATAAGAAATAAAATACTGGCCGGACTCGGTGGATCAGCCTGTAATCCCGGCACTTTGGGAGGCCAAGAAGAGTGGATTGCCTGAGCCCGTGGGTTTGAGACCCATCTGGGCAACTTGGAGAGACCTCGTCTCTACAACAAATCAAAAAATCAGCCGGTCGTGGTAGCGCGTGCCTGTAATTCTGGCTACTTGGAAGGCTGAGGCGGAAGGATCGCCGGAGCCCGGCAGGTCGAGGCTGTGGTAGCCGGGAGCGGCCACTGCCCTCCAGTCTGGGCGACAGAGTGAGACTCCAACTCAAAAAAAGGGAAATAAAATATGAGTCATCCAAAGTCTGCAGTCAGACTGGTTGCATAAGAGTCCTTTAAAAAATTCAGGTTACTGGGCCTTATTCCATGATTCGATTAGGTAGATTAGGCAGGTAGTTAGGTTAAGAACCAAAGATCATGGATTACTACAAGAATTCCTTCCAGTTTTTTAAGCCCTTTAACTTCCACACAATTATTGTTATTACCTGGTCTGTCTCCCATAAATGATGAAAAGCAGTTTTGAGGCTGTCTTTCGAAAACTGGGGTGGAATGCACTCTATTATGAAGTGAGATTTTGAGACAGAGAGGAATCCTAAGAGGTTAGGGTATAAAGGTTAGGAGAGGAAAATAGTTTAAATATTGTGTAAAGTTGGGAGAGGAAAGCAGTTTGAATTATTGTGCAAAATGGCAGAGGAAAGCGGTTTGAATGATGGGGTCTTGTTGTAAAGAAAGGATAATCCCAGGGAACCCGTGGGTAGGGACTTGGTGATGAAAATCCTGCTTGGTTGTTGATCTTGGATATCATAGCATACCCATTTTCTGTTTTATACTTCCTCTCCTCTAGTTTGTCCTCAAATGGTCTGAGAAAGGGACACTGGGAAAGAAAGAGAGGGCATGTAGCAGATGAGGGTAATGTAACAGTTATGTCTATTTTTGTCAGGAATGTGTGCTGCCTTTTCCCAGATCATTTCAAAATCTGCTACTCATTTTAATAAAGACTGCAGCCTCCTCAGGCTTCTCAGGCTAAAATTTATTCCATCTTATAAAAGGTATTAAGTTTAATGAGCAAAGATCTATTTCAGTACTTAATTTTAGAAAACATGTAAAACTAACCAAATAATGTCTTCAAGAAGAAAAAAAAAACACTTTTTTTGGTTTCCTTTATATGACTTTTAAAAAAATCTACCCGAACTAAGTACAGCAGAGATTCAGATAAAGAAATTGTGAAGATGGAGTCATTTCTTCGATTCTCCTAGAATCAACTATGGTTAAAAATGGAGGGCTATAAAACACCAGAAAATAACAAGTGTAGAGAAACTGAAATCCTTGCACATTGCTGGTAGGAATGCAAAATGTTTCAGCTGCTGTCGAAAACAGTTTGGCTGTTCCGTTAAACAGAGAATTACTATACAGTATAGGTTGACTATCCTTTATCCAAAATGCTTGAGACCAGAAGTGTTTTGGATTTCAGACTTTTTCGAATTTTGGAATATTTGAATACATATAATGACTTATTTTGGGGATGGGACCCAAGTCTAAACATGAAATTCAGTTATGTTTCATATAGAAGGTATATAATACCTTATTCACAAAGGCCAAAGATAATTTGTACAGTACTTTTAACAATTTTGTGCATGAAACAAATTTTTAGCTATGCTTTGACTGCAACCTGTCACATGTGGTCAAGTGTAGAATTTACCACTTGTGGCATGAAAAGTTTCCAATTTTGGAGCACATCAGATTTAGGGTTTTCAAGTGAGGGACGCTTCACTTGTATCACTACTTCTATCACTTTTATCACACTTGCATCAATTCCACTCCTCGGTATATACCCAAACTAACTTAAACCAGGTACTCATATGCATGTTCCTAAAAACACTATTCCTTATTGCCAAAAAGTGGAAACCACTCAATGTTCATTAAAGGATGACAGTACAAACTGTGGTACATCCATTAATAGAATATAATTCAGTCACAAAAAGGAATGAAGCACGGATACATGCTACAACAATGTGGACAATCCTCAACAACACACTAAGTGAAGGAAGTCAGAAATAAAAGGTCACATATAATTGATTTCATTTAGGATATATTCAGAAGAGGCAAATCCATGTAGACAGAAAGCTTTGTGGTAGTTCCCAGAGAGTGAGGGGCGTGGACAATGAGGAAGAAATGTTGAGAGGGTATAAGGCTTCTTCTGGGGATGACAAGTGTTCTGCATACAGGTTCCACATACTACGTAAGGTGGTGGTTGCACAACATAGTGAATTTACTAAATGCCAATGAATTGTTTCCCTTAAAATAGTTCACTGTAATTTTTGTAAATTTCACCTAATGGGAAAAAGACACCAAAAAAGAACAATTTTTTCAGTAGGTTTGGGGGGCTTTTAGCCCATAACTAAGAAATGGGTGTTGGTCTGCACATACCTGGAAGACAAGGTCGATGCTGAAGTACCAGGTTTGGTTCTGGAAGCATGGGTGCTTCCTCAGAAACATACTTTAAAAGCTCCTTCCCAAGATATGTTACCTGCACATAATTACAGTTGCACACAATTTTAGAAAATCATACATTCTGTAAGATGGGAACACACCTATCTCCTGAAAATTGTCATTTTTGTATAGTATTGATTATTGCATATAATGGGCAAACCATAGTCCATGGCCAAATCCAGCCTGCAAGCTTCTTTTGTAAATGTTTTACTGGAATACAGTGATGCCCATTCATTTGCTTAACAACTATGGCTGCTTTCATGCTACAAATGAAATGAGCAGTTATGATGGACTATATATGTCCACAAAACCCAAAATATTTACTATTTGGCCTTCTCCTAAAAAATGTGTTGACCTTTTTGTGTGTCATTAATTATCTCATCCATTTACTTCCTCAACAACCCTTAACCTAGTGCCCGATACCTTAAAACTTTAAGAAATTAATGTTATGTTAATAAAATTAAGCCATAAAAGGTGCTTTTCAAGAAATAAGATATTTAACTGATCAAATTAATACCATTTCGGGTCTATACACCCATTCTTTAATTTTATTTTTTTAATTTTAAAGATGTGGGGCACCATTCAGGATTACGTATACAAGCGGTCATTGTACAGGTAAAGTTCGGGCCTCCCTTTGGTCCCTACTTTGCCTGGTCATGCTTTTGTTTGTTTGTGAACTTAGATATTGTTATCAACCCAAAAGGTCAGAGCTTAGAAATATCTACATACAAGAGTGTAGGACTGAGGCAGACTGGCAAATGCCTGCCACAGACGTTCTGGGCCCAAGGGTCTTTGGGTCCTTCAATCTTAGCTCGAGGGCAATTTAATAATATACCTCCAAAGGCTACGTTCACTGTGGGCAAAACATCAAGATTCAGCTCAAACAACCCTACCTGCAGGATGCCTTCCTATAACCTCTGAGCTCAAGTAATGACCATCCTCTAGGCTCCCACAATTGTTGTGCTCATATGTCTGTCACAGCACTTATCTCATTTACACAGATTATGTTTTAATGTATCTGCTTCCATTAAACCATAAGCTCCTTGAGGAAAGGGTTTGTGTCATATTCATTTTTATACCCTCAGCATTTCGCACAGTGCCTGACAACACTGGGTAAATCCCAATTCTCAAGCAAGACTTTTAAATTCTCTGAGTCTCGGTTTGCGTGTTTGTAAAACAAGTACCTCCAGCTTATTAAGTTGTTGTGAGGATTATAAGAGACAAAATTCATGAAAGCATTTTGTCTGGCACATGCTGAGTATCCAATAGAGCTTGTTAAATTGAACATAGTGAGGAAGCTTTAAGGGCTTTGCAAGGTATAGACACCCTTTGGACTCAATCCTGTGACCAAACAAAGCCCGGTAATGGAAATAAAACAGATCCGGCCCACCCAATGTGCCAGTTCTTCCTCACCTGCATGGAGAGAAGTAGAGGAGAGACATCAAATATAATGTGTAAGTTCTCCAAACAATCAATTATTAGAAACAACAGATTGTGTATGTGTTACGCCCTGACAATGTCCAACATACCTTATATATCCATCAAACTGCAAGCTCAGTATGTTCTCACATGTATCTCAGACTTAAAAATATTTTTATCAGTTAGTACTAGACAACATAAGGTAACTTACACATACCACTGGGGAGTAATTCAGATATACAAAAAATACAGCTTTAAGAAAATCCACTAAGTTAAAAATCTATTTTCCACATGGTAGCAGTGATTTGTTGAACAGTATAATGAGTAGATCTCAAATGAACAGCATGAGATAACTTGTAGAAACTGTGCATTTCATATTAGTGTCTGTGCAAAAGCTCCCATTGGCTAAAACATGTAAGAAAACAGTCATTACATTTGCATATGACTCAAACTTTGAATTCTGAACTAAATCTCACTGGATTCAGATGCAGCTCACATGCCTGTGCTGACAGAGGCATGGAAGGAAGAGCTGGAGGCCAAGTTCTTAGGCTCTTGGGCTACGCAGCCTCCAGTGATCTTAGCAACCCTGACACCCAAAGCCCATTTTGACAAAGGGCCACTGATGGGATGTCACCTTTCCCCAGATAAGAATATGTAAAAGAAATGGAGCTTAGTGTAAGATGTGTTCTGTGATGATATCTGTAGGTTGTTGTGCTCTTGTTTTTTGTGTTTTTTTGAGTTGGAGTCTCACTCTGCCATCCAGGCTGCTGAAGTGTGGTGGCACCCTCACAGTCACAGCAGCCTGGACCTGCTGGGCTCAGGTGATACTTCCACCTCAGCCTTCCAAGTAGCTGGAACTATAGGCATGCACTACCATGACCGCTTCTTTTTTATTTATTTATTGTAGAGACGAGGTCTCACCAAGTTGCCCAGATTGGTCTTGAACCCCTGAGTTCAGGCAATCCTCTCACCTCAGCCTCCCAAAGTGCTAGGATTACAGGTTTGACACCCAAAACCCAGCCCTCTTGCTTTTTTTGCATGGTAGAATGGAGGCTGGGCACAGTGCCTCATACCTATAATCCTAGCACTTTAGGAGGCTGAGGCAGGAGGATTGCTTGAGCCCAACAGTTCGAGACTACCCTAGGCAACAGAGTGAGACCTTGTGTCTACAAAAATAAAAACGAAAGGCAGAACCGCAACAGTGTTTTGTCCTAAGGCCAGTGATGCTTCTGTTGGAGCTCTTACAGCAAAAGCTCCGTTAGTCCTCAGAAATAAGTCTAGACTGATTCCCTAATGTCATACTTATGGAAGAAATAGGGTGTGTGGATTGTATGTGTGTGTATGCATGTGCACGTGTGTGCACATGCATACATCTCAGATGGATGGATGATAGAGCTAACCTATTCTAAAAATGTAGTTAATGAGACAAGTGGAATTATCATTTCACTTTATTTTGGTTAGGTCTTTAGCAGAAATAAAGTACAGTATTCATCATCATTATAACAAATATTTCTCGATACCTTATATACTAATATGCATCAAGAAAGAATATAAGGCATAACTGCTTCTGAATGTCAAGGAGCCCAAGAATATATATTTCTGCTGGGACTTCATTTTATTTTAAAGTATCAATATATTTTTAATATCTTCAGAAAAACCATTTATTGGTATTGACTAATATGTATCTGATTATGGATGATTAAATGACTACCTAATTCCTTTCCAAGTTTTAAGAAGTCTTATAAATTTCACTACCCCAAATGGAAAAGGAAAAAAAGAATATTTTTAAAAAATCTCAGGGTGGAAGAAAAGGCCAAGAAACAATAGAAAACTGTTACAGGTTTTAAGTTTACTGTAACAGAAAAGACATTTTAGCTAAGAATATAAAAATATTTCTCAAATAAAATATTTATTTGGGCATTCAGAATACAAGACAGAAAGTAGTTTCAAAGAACAGCCTTGGAGGAGGCGATTCCAGAGAAATGATGTTAGATAAAGTTCACCGTCATAGTCTCCACCTTCCATTCCAGATTCTCCTTCCCCACACCCAATGCTCAATGCAGCTAAAGGCAAGAGAAGGTCCTTCACACTACTTGTTTTCAAGATATACAACTTCTAAATGTTTGTACTTTGAAGAGGTCCACATCTCTAACCATCTCCTTTTCCTTCTTTCTCTTCTATCATGTAGCCGAGTAGAAGCTGGGCTGACAGGAAGTATAAGGCACATTGAGCATGTGAGCTACTGACTGAATGAGGCTAGCTGACTGTTCAGATGAACAATTTCCATCACTTTCTATATTCTTGCCCCAGTCTTTCCGTATGTTGATATTCCTAATTATGGTGGTGGAAGGAATTTTTCTAGAAAGATATGAGTGGGGAAGGGAAAGGGGGATCCATAGAGAAGAGTTAACACTAAATCCAAGGGAGTGAAAAGGGTGGAAATAAGGGTGGAAATTGGGTGAGGCATCTGGATGGGAAGTGTGTTTGCAGAAGAGATCTCTCTAGTGCTCTTTCAATCACTGCCTAAAAGAGCAGCCTAGTTTTTATCTGCATTAATTCACTCCTGGGCATTCACAAAGGTGAACTGTCTTTGCATTCTTATGGATTCTTAAGGCATTCTTACAAATGCCTACTGCATTTGTACCACAGAAAGGTATTTTTTTTCCTGAGGAAACGGGCAATTTTTGCTGCACAAGATTGAGGCTTTGTATCCATCCATAAAGGCGCCTGGCGGACGTTGTGTGCTCTTTTGAGTTCAGAGCAACCTATTTCCAATGAATGGGATGTGGGCCTCCCTTGTGCCATGGTCACAGATGCAGGAAGTAACGTCCAGGCAGTCCGAAGATGAGGTTCTAATCCTGGTTTTGGCATTTTCCAGCCTTGAGGCTAATCAGGTCACTTAACCTCCCAAAACTCTGTTTTCACATCCATAAACAGGGATAATAGTTCAGTTTCCTGCCTCAAAAAGTTGTTGTGCAGAAATGCTTCATCAACCACACTGTGGTTTTCAAGTTCTGCAATATTCAAGATGCAAAGATAGTCAAAGACCATCTAGCACTACTCATTTTATTTTTTTTCTGAGTCGGGCTCTCACTCTGTCACCCAGGCGTACACCCAGGAGTACAGTGGCAAGATCATGGCACACTGCAGCCTTGACCTCCTAGGCTCAGGCAATCCTTTTACCTTAGCCTCTGGAGTAGCTGGGAGTACAGGTGTGTGCCACCACAACCAGTTAAGCACTACTTATAATATACATAGGAAAGGTCAGTTTCAGAAAGGTCATATGACTTAACATAGATCAATGAATTCTCACTTCGGGCTGTACATTAGAATCACCTGGAATGCTTTTAAAATACTGCCACTTGGTTCCCAACCCAAACTATTCAAACAGAAACGATGAGGCTAGATTCCACCAGGCAATGGCAGTTTTTCAAAGTCCCTCAAGTAATCTAATGTGTGTCCATGATTGAAAAACATTGCCCAGATCATACAACTCACAAAAAGTGGAACCAGGAAATAGCTTAGTTTGCCTCCCACTGGAAAACCACACGGCCACATCCGAGGAGTGTCTGACAGTCGGGAGGCAGCAGCAATAAGAGAAGTCAGTGATGCCCACTGGGACTAAGCATTAGGATTTCCCTGGCAAAGCTGTTGGGGAGCGGGTACGAGTCATCTCTGCATCCACTGACTCTGACACTGTCGGATGCAGGGCAAGACTTAGGAGGAAGGGAACACACTTCCCCTCCAGATGCCTTGCCCAGTTTGCACCCTTATTTCCACCCACTTCACTCCTTTGGATTTAGTGTTGACTTCTCTCTCTGGTTCCCTCCTTCCCTTCCCCACTCATATCTTTTTAGAAAAATTCCTTCTACCACCATGATTAGGAATATCAACATAAGGAAAGGCTGGGGTGAGAATATAGAAAGTGATGGACGTTGCTCATCTGGACAGACAGCCAGCCTCATTCAGTCAGCAGCTCACATGCTCAGTGTGCCGTACACCTCCTGGGAGTCCAGCTTCCACTCAAGAAGGAAGGAAGGGAAGGCACAGCCAGTTGTGCAACCATGCCCACAGGGAACCCTGGCAAACGGGAGTTGTGGGAGAAAGCATGTAGAAGAACATAAAAGGGATACATGGGGACAAAAACTAGACTGAGACCTTTTAGATGTCTTTGTTTTCTCTTATTTCTTGTCTGACAATCAGCCACCTCTGGCCCCATACCCTACCACCATTCTGGGAACTAGTCTATAGAAATGTTCATATTTAACAATATAGCAAAATGCTTCTTTCATCAGGATATGATTGTGAATTCAGAAGTGAGGAGGCAGAGGTTTCTGTGGCAAACTTTAAAACGGTCTTTTAAATATAAAGAAAATCACTAGGGGAATCTGTTTCTCAACTTGGAGTATTTACTTGAAGTACGTGAGTATCTCATAGTAATTTTAAACTCTGTTTTCGTTTTTTTGGGGGGATAAACTTAAAAAATAATCTAAGCTCAGGTAATCTGCATGAATATCTTCTATCCAAGAATTGCCCTATCTTCTTTTTTCTTCTAATTTTTTATTTTAAAGATGTGGGATACAATTCAGGGTCAGGTATACAAATGTTCATTATGCAGGTGCCCTTGTTGAGAGGTGTGCACCCACCCTTCACCAGCAGATTCCCACTACTGCCAATCCTTTTCTTATAGTATTATAATAATAGTTCAAGGTACACTTTTGAGTGAGAACATGTGATACTCAGTTCTTTGCTTCTGTGACGGATCACTCAGTATTACAGACTCTAAGCCCATCCAAGTTGCTGCCAGGTTCATAATTTTGTCCTTCTTTATAGCTGTGTAATAGTCTGTCATGCATATGTACCACTTTTTTTTATCCAGTCCTCTTCTGATGGGCAGCATGGCTAGTTCCATGTTTTTGCTATTGTGACCAATGAACTGCCCTATTTTTAGTGCCACATTCTCATGTGGCTTCACTATCACATAGGTGCTAAACACTATGACTCTAATTGGTATGGCTGATAAGAAAACAGGAGAGGCAAAGCAATATGCAAACAAGGCAATAGTGCACGGTAGAGGAAAAAAAACTTTAGGAAAACAAAAAGTCAGAGAGACAACAGCAGAAACAATCCAGCATGTGCTGATGTAAGTGAAGGAACTGAAACACAGAGCTAGATGTATGCCACAAAGGTCTAGGAGACCAGAATGCAGAGTTGGGGCAGAGTTTGGGACACAGAATGCAAAGTTTAGGACACAGTAGGGACTGCAAAGGGGGGTGGGCAGAGATAGGTCGGACAAAAGAGAGAGAAGGAAGCTGTGCCTATTACTGGTGCGCTGATGCTTATTGTGATGGCTAGTAGAGGCTGAATGTATCTTCTATTCTTTCAGTTACAGTGGATGTCTGATGATTTATACATTTCCTGGGAATTTATTTTAAGACTGTCCCTGAAATGGTGTCATGGACATCTGGAGGTGGATGGACACTGGACTTCAAGGATGTCAGTCATCACTGGGCTTATGATTCAGCTGGAGCTGAGGGGAGGTTCTAAATCTTAAAGATCTGAATGAAAGTATTACTTTTTGGAGAGCTAGAAATTCATGGATAAGGACATGTTCAAACATAAAAGCACACTGTAATTTCTGTGGATCTTAGGCCTCTTCCCCATTCCTTTTGTATTTCGGACATTTTGCTTTATTTCATTAGAATAATAACATATTAACTAAATTATCAATATACCCATGGTCTCACATTTTCTATATGGAGTCACAAAGACCTGAAATCCTTTGTGGGGATAAAATGGAAAGATTAGGGCATTAAACTTTCTGGGACTAGGTAAGGAGCATGGTTCCCTGTGCAACCATGCTCACAGGGAATTCTGGCAAATGGGGGTTGTGAGAGAAAACTTGTAGAATAACACAAAAGGGACACATGAGGACAAAAACTAGATCAGAGACCTTTTAGTTGTCTTTTTTTAAAGAAGAAGAAGAAGAAGAAAGAAGAAAGAAGAAAGAAGAAAGAAGAGGAAGAGGAAGAGGAGGAAGAGGAAGAGGAAGAAGAAGAAGAAGAAGGAGAAGGAGAAGAAGAAAATAGTTCCATTATCAAAAATAAATACATTTCCATTTAAACATGAAGTTAAAGATAAACTTAAGAATGACCCACCTTACTCCAAGCATAATTCCAGGTCACACAACTGTTGCCTCCCAGAATATCCCTGAGCCAGGTGACTGGGTTTTGATAAATCTGACCGTTTTCTACCTTTATTTTACCATTTAATAAAATACTTGCTTTGTGGGTAGTTTCCTGAAGTAAAAAATAAAACAAAAATTAAGATTAAAAACAGCTGAAATACACAAACTTCTGCTTTTGGCCGTGATAAAGTAACCAGGTCCAGATTCACCCTAATACCTGATATATTTATATACAAATTTAAAGTATTTAGAAATGGCGATAAGGGCATACAGAAAACAAAGAATCGTCTATGCAATAAAATCTACAAATCTACAAAAATTAGGTTCAAATAATGAGAGTAGGTGGCATTTGAACCAAGACTGCTTCCTTCCTCCCCTCTCAGCTCACGGAGGTGAAGCTTTCATTCCAGACTGCTGTCGTTGAGGCCAAGGGCTCCCCGTTAGAGGGATATCTTCCTGGAAGAGGCAGAACTGCAGCATTTCTCATCCTGTCCTCAGCCATCTGTTGCTAAGGCTCATTTGTGGGCCACTGTAGCCAAGGGGTGGGGCTCCCTTCCTCTGCCCAGCTCTGGGTGGTGAGACAGAGGCTGCCCCTTTGGCACAGCACCACTGGGTTCCCAACTGCCTTTGCCTTAGCCTACAAGGCAGTGGTTTCTTATCAGGAGAGACAAACTGAAAAGACACGAAACTACTGTCTGCCTCCCTTTGCCCCCCTCCCCTTGCACTGAGTGTCTACCTCCTAACGCAAGGGTGGCATTCGGAGTGAAATCACCATTGTCCCCAGCCTCAGCTTTAGGGCCATGGATCAAGGATTTTGCCTGGGAAGAGAAGCAGGTCTTCAAAAAGATAGCTCCAGTAGAAGAAAGACACCAAACTTTGTGAAATATTAAAGAAGGTTTATTCTGAGCTAAATGCAAGTGACTTTGGCCTGTGGCACCATCCCAAGAGGTCCTGAAAACATGTACCTGCGGTAGTTGAAATTGTGGCTTGGTCATATACATCTTAGGAAGACAGACCATAAATCAATACATACAAGACTTATACTAGTTTGGCCCAGGAAGGCAAGACATCTCCAAGAAGGGGCTTGCAGGTCATAGGTTGATTCAAAGATTTCCTGGCTGGCAATTAGTAGCAATATCTAGGCTTTGTCTAAGGAATTTTAAAATCAGTAAAGGAAATGACACATGGAGATAAGGGAGTTGAGTTTCTTGATATGCAGATGAAGGCTCACAGGTGGTAGCCCTGAGAGAGAATAGATGGCAAACACTTAGCTCCTCTGGAGATTCCCAGAAAGGGATTCTATAGAGATGCACATTTCTCCAAGAGATGGCTTTGCAGGATCATAAAATATTTTTTATTTTCTTCTTTAGCTGTGATATTATGTCAGAGTCAGATGAGAAATTAAGCCATATTAAATAGGGTTAAAAAAAAAATTCCCATCTAATGAGATTCACCAGACCCCTTAGATAGGAATTTGGCAAGAGCGGGAGAAAAAAACGTTAGAGTTCAAACCTCACTCTTAATCTTCATTTGCAACAGAGCATGTAGAAGTTCAGGCTCAAGAGCGTTATCAGAAATAGTGGAAGCTGTAGTAAAAGGCACATCAAAATAGATTGGCAGATTCATTAGCGATATAAGCTAAACTGCAGGTTGGCTAGTTTGTAAGAGGTAACTGGGAAAAAATATAGCTAGCAGTGGCCTTCCTGAGTCATAATGCATTTCAAATACTGACCTTGGAAACAATCCCTTCAAAGGAGACCACATTTGACTAGATTGGTCTGTAGAACAATTTATGCTCCAAAACATTGTTGAAAATAATAAAATGACCAATGGTCAACAAGTAGAACTTAACAGTTTTGTGTGGTCAGGGAAAGAAAGTCACACTAAGGCTTCAGTCCCTGAGTGCAACATCATAAGTTTAACATTAAAGTGGAGAGAAATAGAGTTCATTAAAACAATCTAGCCAGTAATTAAACAGATAAAGAATAATAAGATGTCTAAGAGAAGGTGGGGACCAAGACACAGAATTGCTACAATACGTTGTCTAAAGTGTTCAGTTCCAACAAAAAAATAGGAGACACACAAAGAAACAGGAAAGTATGACACATATACCGCCCCCTGCCCCCAAAAAAAGCCCAAACAGGCAAGAGGACGCTGTCTGTGAGAGTGACCAGACACTGGATTTAACAGACAAAGATTTCAAAATAACAATTAGAAATATGTTCAAGGAACTAAAGAAAACCATAATTTAAGACATGAAGACAAAGTCATGTGAAAACAGAAAATATCAACAAAAAGGAAGAATTCATTTAACACAATCAAATAGAAGCTATGGAGATAAAAAGTACAATAACTAATAATGAATATTTGTATACCTAACCCTGAATTGTACACCACATCTTTAAAATAAAAATTGAAAAATTTTTTTAAAAGTACAATAACTGAAATTTAAAAATTCACTAAAGAGGCTCAGCAGTTTTAAGATGCCAAGAGAAAGAACTGGTAAACTTGAAGATAGATAGATACAATTATGTAAGCCAAAGAAAATAGAGGGGAAAAAAAGAGAAATAAAAATGCCTCAGAGAAATGTGGAATACCATTAAGCATACCAATAGATGCATAATAGGGGTGACTAGGAAGAATGAGGGGGGAGAAGGAACAGAAGAAATATTTGAAGAAACACATGGCTAAAAACCTGCTAAATTGACTGAAAAACATTAATCTACGCAATCAAGGGGGTTCAATGACTTCCAAGTAGATCAAACATAAAGAGATTCACGGATACATAGTAAAATGCCAAAATTGAAAGACAAATAGAAAATATTAAAAGTAGCAAAAGAAAAATGACTCCTTATTTACAAAGGAACCTCATAAAGATTAACAGCTGACTTCTTATCAAAAACAAATGGAAGCCAGAGGCAATGGAATAGCAAATTCAAAGTATACAAAGAAAAAAACTGTTAACTAAGAATCCTATATCCAGCAAAGTTATCTTTTAAAAATGAAAGCAAAATAAAAACATTCTCAATAAATGAGAATTTGTTGCTAGACTACCTTATAAGAAATAATAAAGCAATTTATTCAGGTTGAAAGCCAATAATCCCAGATAGCAATATGAATCAACATGAAAAAACAGAGCACCAGTAAAGGTAATTATGTATTGTAAAAGACAGTATTAGTGTATATTTCCTCTCCTTTCTTCTCAACTGATTTAAAAAACAATTATATAAAACAATAGGGAAATTTGGGAGGCCGAGGCAGGAGGATTACTTGAGGTCAAGAGTTTGAGACCAGCCTGGGCAGTATAGCAAAATCCTGACTCTACAAAAATTTTTTAAAAATTAGCCAGGCAAGGTGGCGCATGCCTATATTCCTAGCTACTCAGGAGGCTGAGGTGGGAGAATCACTTAAGCCCAGGAGTTCAAGATTACCGTGAGCTATGATTATGCCACTGTATTCTAGACTGGGTGACACAGTAAGACCTTGTCTCTTAAAATTTTTTAAAAATACAGGCATAATATAGTGTAGGGCCTATAACATATTGAAACATATATATTTGCCAACAGCAGTACAGAGGAGACAGGTAGGAGCAAAGCTTTATAAGGGTAAGGAAATGACTCCAGATGGAAATGCAAATATTCAAGAACAAATGAAGAGAACCAGAAACAATAAATAAAAAGGTTAATATAACAAAAGTTATAAATATATATTACTCTCCTTTCTTCTATCAGCTTCTTTAAAAGTTATGAAATGTTATAAAATTATAATTGTAACAATGTTTACCACTATGAAGGAGCAACATTCCTATATTCCCCTAGATTTAAGTTAGCATAAATCTGAAGCTGATCCTCATAAGTGAAGGTGTGTGTTAAGTCCTAGAGCATCTACTACAAACATAATTCAAAATATATATATTCACTTAATTCCAAAGAAAGTAATAAAAGAAGTACAGTGAAACAAAAAGACACGAGGCATTTTAAAAACAAAAAGTATTGCTGGATGCAGTGGCTCACACCTGTAACTCAGCACTTTTGGAGGCCAACATGGGAGGACTGTCTGAGCCCACGAGTTTGAAGCCAGCCTGGGCAACATAGTGAGACCATATATCTACAGTAAATAAAAAAATTAGCTGGGTGTGGTGGTGTGTGCCTGTTGTTCCAGCTACTTGGAAGGCTGAGGTGGAAGTCACTCTTTGATTTTAAAATAAGCTTCTATGAAAGATGAATTTATGCTTATTTCTTTAGTAGATGCTTTAGCAATACAATGGTAGTTTCTAAAGTTTTCAAACTAAAGACAGCTCCAATTTATTATTTTTATGTTGCTCTTAAATCCCTCCTGCTTCAATAAAATGGTCTAGTTCTGGACTGAGAACTCAAAAGAGATTGTCTCTAAAATGTATCAGGACAATTCCAGAAACGTGATTTCACTTGCTAAGAATACAATGGCTGTGTCCCTCCATTCAGGAAACAGACAAACACCATTTCCTTAATCAGAGCTAAATGTCTATACTACATGACAATAACATTTACTCATTTATAAAAATTTGCATGATTTCAGAGGAAAAAAATAATATAATACCTGTGTTTTGAATTCCAGAATGTTACTTCCTGGATTAAGTCTTCCTAGTAATATCAAATCTTTTATCTGCATACGTTTCTTTTTAGGAGCTGTACTACAGTTTAAAGACTTTTTTGTAGTATGTTGACACCCAGGCCCAGAGGAAGAAGAGATTTGACTGTCATTTGTGTGTGGAATAGCAGAAGCTGATTTTTTAAGATATGGCTTTATCTGATACTCAGTGTCACTGCCTCCAACAGCAATCCTTTGATGTTCCAGAGATTCTGATGTCTCTGCAGGGGGCTTCTGGGAAGTTGTTTTTCTGTTTCTTCTTTTTGGCTCATAATTGGAGAGGTCTTCATCATAAATCACAGTTGATGGATGGGCATTATTTGGGGCAGGTACACTTATGGTTTCTGAAATATTTAATGTGCCAGTTACTGGAGAAGGACTATAAAAGTCATGCTCTTTGGCTGTAATTTCTGTAAGATCATTTTCTTTTTGTGAATATTCTGTTTGAGCAATAAAAGCAACAGGTTGGGGTGGTAATTTAATCTTCTCAGCGCCATCTGAATGTCTAGATTTTGATAACCAATCTAAGGGACAATCACTGACGTTCTGTTTACAACTTAGCTCATTTCCAGAAAATTCTTCCCTTCTCACTGCCTCTGAACTTAGACAAATGTTGGTACTTTGCCTGTCATTCCAAGTTTCTAGAGACAACTGAGTTTCCTGCGTATTCTCACAATCAAGATTGACAGGAGAAAGTGAATCCAATTGGGGTTGCATTGAATTTTCCAGACTTATAAGTTTTTGACTGTTCTTTTCACTAGACATTTCCGTTCTGGGTGGCAGCTTCCTTAAACTAACACCAGACAATGTTGTGGCACTCTTATAGTTTTGAATTTTCAGGCTTATTTTTTTCTGTTTTTTTGCCACGACCAAAAGGCTCTTCTGTCTTGTGGCCAAGTTAGCCAGTTGTTCTCTCAGGGGTCCATGCTTAAATGACTCTATAGATACCCTATAGGAAGAAACGGAAAGAGTAAAAAAATGCAGTGACAGCAGAAAGCTTTTCTTAGCAATCATTCAGATATCACAATTTTAATCACCTCAAAATACACAAAAGTATACCTCTGCAAAATATTTCCTTTAAGGAAAAACTGATTCCTTATATAAGGTGAGTTTGACTTTGTTTTAGGCTGTGATAGGATGGTTATCCAGATTTTATATTCATATCATTATCAATTATGAGTCAATCCTGAAAGACAAAGCTTGGGTCATCTGCCTAGATATCTACTAGTCTTTGAATGTAAGGTAGAAATTGGCAGCTGAGGAGGATCACCATTCCTTAAGTTCAGGGTTTGCTTACCTGTTGAAAGCAGAAAGGTGTATTAGGAAGTAAACTCTGAAAGTTCCATTCAGGTTACCCTGGCAATGAAACAAGATTGCTCCATACCTCAGCTAGATGGGAGAAATGTTTGCTCATCAAATAATTACCATAACAGATGCTTTCAAGTCCAGAGGACGATCCAGATCAGCATCATCCTGAGCATCTGCCCCCAAGTAATCTCTCAAGCTCTTAGGACTAAGGAAGAGGAAATGGCTCCTCAGGTTTCCATACCTCCATCTCTTAGCTATGCCCACCAATCTCACAATAACCTTCGGAATATTAGATACTTTGTTTCTAGCGTTTCTCAAATATTTTGACCTTAGGTACTATTTCTACTGATAAAAATTACTGAGGAACCCAAGTATCTTTTATGCATGTGAATTATATTTACCAATATTTACTGTTTCAGAAATTAAAACTGAGACTTTCTTAAAGAGAAGAACTCATAAGCATACATTACATTAGCTTTTAGAGTAATAATATCATCATATATCATGTGGCCTCTGGAAAATTCCATTGCATACTCATGAGAGATTGAGGGCAAATAACATCTTAGCATTATTATTTTTAAAAAATGTTTTGGTCGGGTGTGGTGGCTCACACCTATAATCCCAGCACTTTGGGAGGCCGAGGTGAGAGGATTGCCTGAACCCATGGGTTCAAGATCAGCCTGGGCAACTTGGCGAGATCACATCTCTACAATAAATAAGTTTTTTAAAAATGGTCTCAGGGACCCAGCAGAGGCCCCTGGATTATACTTTAAGAGCTTCTGCTTTAAGGAAAAGTAACAATTAATAGTAGTATCTTGCCTCTCCTATGAGAGTTTAGAGTTTAGAGTTCATACTATGCTCCAAAGCAAACTAGATGTTAGAAGAATAAATACATATCAGTGGAAAAAGCAGCAAGAAGAATTCAGATTGGTAAACAATGATAGCATAAAATGCAAGAAGTTGGATAGAGGAAAAATAAATAATACCACACTTAAAAGTATGTAAAACAAGAAGTTCAAAAAAAAAATACAAAGGTGATCTCTTCTAAGATGTAAAGTCTTATAGCAATACTAATAAGGATTTACATGCTTTAAACCCAAATTGATCAGGAACCTTCCAAAATTCCAGGTACAATACATTGTCAACCATGGGACACTAAAGGAAAATTGAAGTTAGCCTCTCAAAGTCCTCTAGAATTATCCATATGTAGGTCGCACAAGCTCACTTAATTTATACTGGAGGAAGACAAGTCAGAAAATAGAATGAAATGTGTAATACTTATTCACTAAAGAGGAAGGCAATATGGGGATAGAAGATAGTAGACACATACATAAAAATAGGCTGGGGAAGCGGGCAACACCTTATCAACAAGGGTATCCGCACAATGAATATTTGTATACCTAACCCTGAATTGTACCCCACAATTTTAAAATAAAAAAAATTTAAATTTAAAAAAGATAAGAAACTGATTTCTCAATAAGTTCAGAAAAAATGAATATGTAATAGATGTCAATTGATTATAAGACAAGAACAGATAAGAAAATATTCAGAAAAATTAAAAGTAAACAAAGAATGGGGACAATGTAGCTAAGTCTATGGAAAATGTTTTTAAAAGGCCCAAATAAGAAAAAAATATAATATTTTTCTAAAAATAAGAGAATAGGTATATAACCAATATAATCAGGATGAGACTCCAAGAATCCTGAGATTTTGGAAATGCAATAAAACACAAAAACTAATCAACTGTGTAGAAGAACATTGGTGACGGCAAAAAGGAATAATTTTTAATGCAGGTAATTTGAGTGTGTTAAGGAAAGAAGTTTATCTGTAGGTTTCATGACCAGAAAGGCTTTCATAAAAAATTTTCACTGTAGACAATTTTTTAAGATATCAAAATGTTCTTTTCTGAATTATTTAAAGTAACAAAGTAAGCCAGGCTCGGTGGCTCAGCCTGTAATCCCGCGCCTTTGGGAGGCTGAGGTGAGTGGACTGCCTGAGCGCACGGGTTCGAGACCCGCCTGGGCAACTTGGCAAGACCTCATCTCTACAATAAATCAAAAACTAGCCGGGCGTAGTAGCGCGCGCCTGTAATTCCGGCTACTCGGAAGGCTGAGGCGGAAGGATCGC